GCGTTGTCATTTGTAGTAACGATAGCAAAGTGTTGATAATTTAACCTTTTTTTTAAATTATGTAAGTCTAATATTTATATATAGATAAAAATGTATCTTTGAAAACTTGAATAACATACATTTTGTTTACATTGTAATATGATGTGACAATACAGCATATCAGCCATAATTGAACTCTCATTCTTTGATCACATATTTTGTTTACGTTCAATAAAGCCAATCAAGTATTATGTTGATAATGAAACACATAATGAATTATTGAATATGTATGCCTGATTGACCATGATATATTGATGACTAGCTAAGGTATAACCATGATTAGCCATGGTGCAACCATGATTGACCATGGTATGACCATGATTGGTCATATTGTAAATGATTTGCCAAAACATAAAAAAAATTGGCTGTGATGTAACCATGATTGGCCATGATATAATTATGATTGACCATAGTGTAAATGATTTGTCAAAGTATAACAAATGGCCATAGTATAACCATAATTGGCTAAGGTATAACCATGATTGGATTTGGTGTAACTGATAATATTTATATTTTTTGTTTATTCCTATAGGCGATACTTTACAATGACCGAGCAGTATTAGAAAACCACCACACAGCTGCAGCTTGGAGTCTTCTTCTTTCATGTCCGCAGTACAACTTTCTTAGTCAGCTTGACGAGGCAGAGTATAAAAGATTTAGATTTCTGGTTATTGAATTCATTCTAGCTACTGATTTGAAGAGGCATTTTGATTTCCTTGTTGAATTCAATGCTAAAGTAGGTATTGTTTCTAGTAGCATGAACATTTGTCTAGATGTTAAATAGAGTCTTTTATTCATGGTAAATTTGATGAATCTTTGTGCTTTCTTTCTGTTATGCTATACTGATTACACTTTCTTCAAAGTTTGTAATATAGAAAACCAATGTAAGTTTTCAACTTTTTAGCTCCGTTGTCGACTTTGTCGAGCGGAGCTTATCATATGAGGGATTGTCCGTCGTCGTCGTCTGTCGTCGTCGTTCGTGTCAATGTTTTATTTTTTCGACTTCTTCTTGAAAACTACAAGCCTGAATGCTTTGATACTTGGTGTATATGTACCTTGGGTAGACCTCTCCTAGGTTTGTTCATTTCATGTTGATATCTTCAATTCTCTAATTTTGGTGAATATTTTTGTCATTTTTAGTAAAAAGTGATATTTTCGACTTCTTGTTAAAAACCGCAATTGCAATTTCTTTGATATTACATATATAAATACTACATGTGGACCTCTCTCAGATTTGTGCATTTCGTGATGATATTTTCAATTCTCTAACTTTGGTGAATATTTTTGTCATTTTTGGTAGAAAGTGATATTTTCGACTTCTTGTTAAAAACTGTTAGTCTGATTGCTTTGATACTATACATATTGTTCATTTTCTATTGATGTCTTCAGTTCTTTAATTGAAATGTGCATTGCTAACAGCGGAGCTATCTCAGCCGATAGGCTGCTTGTTTTGGATTGCGATTGCTGTCAGTGATAAGACTTACTCTGTACAGATCAGGGTATTCTGTTAAACACTCTAGTGTTGTGTTTTTGAAAACCAGTCAAAAGTCAGGAATTGTACTTTATCTTAAAGCGTTCTAAAAATGTTTGATTTGGTTTTATTGCAATAAAATTTTGACAGTTTATAAGAATTTAAATATTACTAGTTAACACTGTGCATATTGTACATTACATTACAGTATATTATTTTGCTGTGTTTTCAGGTTAATGACTCAGATGCACAAGGTATTGATTGGTCAGCGGAGCCTGATAGATTATTAGTTTCTCAGATGTGTATTAAATTAGCTGATATCTCTGGCCCGACCAAATATAAAAATCTGCATATTAATTGGACATACAGGATATCAGAGGAATTTTATGAACAGGTATGTAGTAGTGTATCTTTTCCACATTTACAAGGTTTACATCTGTCATGCCTTAAGGTTTAAGGTACATGGAAAACATTTCATATTGTTAAATATGTCTGTTTCCAGGGTGATGAAGAAGCTCGTTTAGGACTCCCTATCTCCCCGTATATGGACAGGAGGAGCCCACAACTGGCTAAACTACAGGAAACCTTCATCAATCATCTTGTGGCTCCATTATGTAATGCTTATGGTCAGGCTGGTTTGTTGCCTGGACAGTGGGTTGAGGAAGATGGTACGATTTGGTGTCTTTTACTTTATATTTGACAGTTTTAGTCACAATATTTATTGTGTTGTTTGTTTTTCTCAAAACTTGCAGTTAATCTTTATCTGTGTTTTCAGGAAATTGTCAAAATACAGACACTTTAGAAATTACAAAAATCAAACTATTATCTACATTGTATTGACTCATTGATTTAACTGAAATCCCTCCCACTTATTTTTGTTTGTTTTTTTGATGAATTTGTAGAAGCGGATCAAAAAAGTGATGGAGATATCTCAGGAAATGAGAGTACAAATGAAGGGGGTACTGCAGATGAGGATGAAAGCGGTAATGAAGGTACAAACTTTGTAAATTGTTCATGTTGCTGATGGACATGTCTGATTGTCGCACATTATTGACCCCCCCCCCCTCCCCCACCGGCTCTGATTATTTCCCTTGCAAATGTCCTTTTTATTCAAGATGCCTATAGTCATGTTTTTGCTGACAACACTGAATGGACAGAAAGACATATATGGGTGTGATATCTTGGGTTTATGTATGTCTGCTTGAATTGTCACTAATATCTTTGTTTATTTGATGTACAGTACAGTTCTCGCGAAAGCTTTGGCTTTTGTGGCATCATTGTCGCCTCAGCATCCCATCATTGTGGCATCAGCTTCGCGTCATTGAAAATTGAAGCTGTGTTCGCCTCACTTATTTTGTGGCATCATCGTGGCCTCAGCTTCGCAGTCTCATTGCATCAACATGGCATCAGCTTCAAAGTATTGTGACATGAGTATGACCTCATTATTTTCACACGGAAAGGCAGTAGAGAAAAACACATGTACAGAAGTTCGATATGGAATCGACTTGAAATTCAAGGCGGTAAGGGGAATAAAATAATATGACCAAGAGTAAAATTACATTTTAAAAAGATATCTTGTTTAATTATTTAATGTTGCGAGTATTGGGTACCAAAAACTTTGTGAAGTACATTGCAATCTGCAAGATGACGAGTGTCATATTGACTGCAAGGAAAATCGCGATAAATTTAAATCACACGATGCAATCATCGTTCAGATACAACACAAATGCTATACAAAATGAATCTGTTCTTGTTATAAAATTACCTTATTTTCATTCATTTTATTTGCTGGTAAGAGAACAGATTCAGATTCCTCATTTCGGTGGTATTTTTCTGTGTTTCGTTTAGTTTTAGCCGAGTCCGATCCCATGCCCGGACTACTAATACATGCAAAACACTCGTACGCCACCCGGTGCGTCGGTGTTGTCGCCTGCCATCTTGATACAAAGTTCCAAAACAAGTGCGTACATTTCTAACTATGATTGGATGGTTGTGGTGGCGTCGGACTGTTAAATTTTACATCCAATTTTCAAAATTAAGTCACAATCAGTGATCTGAGCTTGATCCATACGTACTTTAAAAGTATTCTCACAAAAAATATTTTCAAATAAAAACCACATGCCCTGTAAAAAATCGAATAGCACTTAACATGCAGAAATAATTTATTGGGCTTCAGGAAAAAACGTGTTCATTTAGTTGTAGCCGTAAATATTTGGTGACCAGTCGATGAACAATTTTAAACTCATGATACACACGGAAGTCCTTTCGATACTGAATATCATCGACCCCAATCTGGTTTACCTTTTTCCAACTTGCAGAACTGATTTGTATCTCAGCCCAGTTTTTTTTTACTTTTTTTGAACTGAGGTCAAATCCCAGCCGTTTGTCAAAATATGGCAATGTTTTTCAGTGAATAATTGTGAAGCTTGTCACAGCACAAAAAAACTATGTCTGGACCTTTTGGAGAAACCAACCGG